TTATTAGTTAAGAGAAATCATCACCTACTTTATGAGCGATCATTTCTCGTACCTAATACTAAATAAGATATAGCAAGTAGATAAATCCTTGTTTAAAGACATTTAAATCAATGACCCCATTTGACCGCAGAAGCCTTCACATCATTGAGGAACTTATTTATGGTGTCAAAGCTGCCCGAGGAATTGTAAACATATGGCACACCACCCTGAGATTGAGCAACAATAGCAACATGTTATCCTTTATAAATAGAAAGGTCGTGTGTTTCCTTGACAACACTAGCCCATAACTTTTTGAAAGTTACAAAGAGTTTTGCTTTAGATAATATGACCTTATGTTGAGTCTTCTGTCGGTGCATAATCTGAATTTGTGCTATTACAAAAGTGTTTGGTGAATTGATATGGCTTGAAATAATAAGTTTGAGAAGCTTTGTCAAGAAATTTGTGCACTATATAGGTGACGATATTGGTTTTTTTATTTTGTGGAAAAGTTAAATATATAAATGAGTTTCTTATTATGTTTTATTCTTTGAGATTACAATCTACAAAATATATTTTGATTCCAATTTTAAAAATACACGAGCTACACTTTCTCCATTCATCTTCCAATTTTAATGTTTTTCAAACTTTAAAGGTACACGAGTTACATTTTTTCATTAAAGTAGTTCTCAATTTTATTTTAATATACTACTCAGCTTTCAATATAGGATATTCTTAAAACCTAAATTTGTTTTGAGTAGGCACTATAACAATCCAAAAAATAAATTGAATAAATAGGTACTTACGGTGATTTAATTATTAATTAAAAATCTAAAATTTTAAGGGAATAATGGTCCTTTCACGTATTAATTAAAATAAATCAGTATTAAGTCTTGAATTCAGTCTCCTAATCCTAATAACACTCTATCTCCTTCTCACGTTCTCCATCTCTCTCTCTCTCTCTCTCGTTGGTTTCTGCCAAAAATAATTTCAAGAACTAAATATACATCAAGAGTTATTCACACTTGAAGAACTCACATTTTTATGTAAAATATAAAGTAATCAAAACGTCAAGTCTAAGAGAGGTACGTCGAGTGAGGTGTACGTTGAAGTATATTGGGAGTGGTTTGGAAGAGGTCCTGGGCAGCAACATCAGCGTTTGAACATCTATTAAGGTATGAGTTCTATTCTTTCTTGGTCCCTTTCCCAAGAGACCCCTTATGGTTCAGAATATTCAATCCGAAAATTAGGATTGTCCCCCACTGCATGTCCCTGTCACTAGCTCCTACTGAATCATAGGTTGGTTATGTTTGCTGGTAAAAAGCTAGGGATGAAAAATGTTTTCGTTATGTTTATGTGTTTATATGTATGTTTAGAATTATGTGACTCATGTTGATGTTCCCAAAAATGTCACAACGTGTGTATGTGTGTGTCGCCATGGCTATTGTTCATGGTGTAGGATTTGAAATGGCATGATATTTCTTTATATTTCATGAACACATGTTAATGGAAATGTGATGTTCATATGAGTTAAAATGTGTCTGATTTGAGGGATAATCTCTTGTCTAAACGAATCCATGAAAAAGCACATAAAACTTTCTAAATGTACTACGAAATTCCCCTAAGAAGTAAGGTGTAACTTGATAAAAGGATGCTCAAAAATCAAAAGGAAATTTCCAGCTTCTAGTGACGAATTTCAGTCAGCAAAGAGGGTTCAAAATGTTGAAAAAATGAATCAAAACAAGTGAGGCCATGGGGGATTGAACCCATGACCTCACCATGTTAAAAACCATGAAAATAGAGAAGTAAAACTAAATGTAGAGAGTGGGGATTGAACCCACAACCTTAATATTGTAGCAATTTTAATTCTCAAAATCAAAGGGTTTGTGGGGGCTCGAACCCCTAACCTTTCGGTTTATTAATAGTAAAATTAAAATAGAAAATTTATCTCTTTATTTAAATATTGAGATTTAACTTAAAATTTTCATTAAAATAGAAAATTAATTCTTTCATGTTGAGATTTAATTTTGAATTCTAATTAAAATAGAAAATTAATTCTTTCATGTTAACATAGAGATTCAATTTGGAATTCTTATTAAAATAGAAAATTAATTCTTTCATATAAATATTGAGATTTAATTTAGACTTCTAATAAAAAAATAGAAAAGTAATTCTTTCATGTAAATATTGAGATTTAATTAAGAATTCTAATGAAAATAGAAAAATTTATTTCTTTCATTTAAATGTTGAGATTTAATTTAGAATTCTAATTAAAATATAAAATTAATCTCTTCAAGTAAATGTTGAGATTTAATTTAGAATTCTAATGAAAATTAAAAATTAATCCCTTCATGTAAATGTTGAGATTTACTTTAGAATTCTAATTAAAATAGAAAATAAATTATTTCATGAAAAGGTTGAGATTTAATTTAGAGTTCTAATGTTATAAATATTAGAAATAAAATCAATGAAAAATATAAATAATATCCAGTGATTCAAGTTTGAGTTCCCGTGCCCAAACCTCAGTATTGATACATAAGTCATACGTGAGTAAAATATTCAAGAATAATGACATCTACTTAGATCAAAAATAAAGATCTTGGCATATATACAAGATATATAAGTCTTGTAATACATAATCTTAGGAAAGTAAGAATCACTTAGCGAACTATGATTAAAGCCCCATGTCTTGTAGATCATAGACACATAAGTCTAACATACGTTCAAAAATAAGTGAAGCTAAGATATAGTAATGAAATGATTAATCTTATGAGGGTTAAGTACGAATGTAAGATACACTAAATGACCATGTGCATTGGCATATGATGAGAGGTACTATGAAATGAAAAAATGAACATTCACGTAAGAAGAGGTGAGTAACTACGAAAAACAAAGGTGCTAATAATGAAGAATGTGGTGACAATCATGATGTGAGGATAATGTATATGATTAGAGCAATCTCAAATGATCCTAAGTAAATGTTACCAATACGTACTCACCAATGAGAGTGTAAGATAATGAAGAGACTAGTCTTTATGAACACACTGATAAAAATATTGAGTTTAAAACACTTAATACTAATGATGAGATGAGAAATCATCTAATGAGTTATGTTGTCCTCATACTAGAAGCTAGCTTCCATAATGTATGAGTTGAATGTAATGGAACTTTATACTGAGCACCGATAGGCTAGCTATGAGCAGTGATGCCTTCTTTCGGGAAGAGCGGAGGTTCACGTAACTCTCATGAAATGAGACTGTCCGGCTTTCCGGGTATGGGTATCGATACATCTCCTAGTATTTGAACCTATACTGCAACCATAGGGTTCTGGCGGGGTTAAATTCCCATATACGCTAGAATGTTATTGAGTCACTTTAGCTGGCGATTCCAGCTCTTTTCGGTGTGGGGGAGACACTGGACTTCATGATGCTCACATGATCTATGTTAGTTAAAGTTAAAGTTTCCTATGAATGAATGAGGCCAACCTCAAATGAATCACATAAAGAAATGAATGATACCGAAGGTGTTAGGATAGGATAATCAAGAGGTGAGCTAGATTCAAGTGATGACATTAGGTTATTCCTAATCATTTCACAACAAAACCGATGAAAGTCTTAATCTACATCCTAGGTATAGCTGGTGTTCACACTGGCCTATCAATGAACTTAAATCGGGTACGTATGAATGAATGAAGCAGACTCTGTTTTTGCGAAAGAAGGCTCCCTAGTTGATGTCCCATATGTTGAGCCCTCATTTTGGAAAATCATAAGGTCAAGTCCATGATAGCAACGTCTCATGCCATATGAATGAATAATATGAAATAAGCTATGTGTTATATATTTTGTGCTATATGAAGGTGTTATGTGTTGTGTTCCATAAAATAATTTTAATGACGCATGTCACTCTCATGACATAACTTTCCCAATCTCAATTTGGCAAGTCCACTGACTAGACTTCCAAAAATCACGTCGTCAGGAAAAAGCTATTCTTTCTAATCTATGTCCCTGGTGTGTGCTTGCACATATCCATACTTAGTACAAGTGTGTACTAATTCCATACAAACATCTAATTTTAGGTCCAGGCACAGGTGGACTATAGAGCTACAGGTTCGTTGTTGCAGCTATCCGGACGTCAGCATTCATCCGGAGATTGGTTGGTCCTCACGCTTTCGAGGATGCTACTATTTTACAGTCTAGCGTAGTTTTAGATTTGAGCTAGTGGAGCATGTTCTACTAGCATTTCTTTTTTGCTTTGGTTCAGAATTTGTATTGGTGCTATTTTGGCCGATAAACAATTAATACTTAATGAATTGTTTTATTCAGATGGTTATCTTTCAATGGTTAGATGGTGATGATGAACGATTATGAAATATTAAGAAGATTTAGCAAGTATTATTAAAGAACAAAAAAATTAAATTTTTCCCTAAATTAACCTATGTAAAGTAAGAATGACGTAAGTAAGCTTGTTTGCGACCTCTGAGAGGTAAATGACGCCGGTCTCGTCTGTGGTCTAGATTTCGGTCGTTGCAAAGTTGGTATCAGAGCCCTAGGTTATATTCTGAAAATAATCAGTTCACATCAACCACATTGAGTAGTTTCTAAGTCATGGTAGTGAAGTGCACCACTATCCTTGATTAGAGACAGCATGATGCTTTGGAAAAATTTCCCTTCTTTTGATTTTATCGTGCTTTTCCTAACATCTGAATTCTTGGTGTTATAAACGTGTCTAACATCAATCCTTGTTGTTTTTAGAGAATGAACAGTTGGTGAACTAAGGGTCTAAGGAAGGGAAGGGTAGCAGCTAGGGGTAATCAGAATCAACCCCAAGCTCCAACTGATGGTGTGGACATGCTAGTTAACCCAGTTGGGTTTACAGATGCTGATGTGAGTGAATCTCTAGCCTAGATGGCACAGTCCATCACGATGCAGGCTCAGGCTATGACTACCCATGTTAACCGGAAGGATGTTCAGAGGGAGAACCCACCGGTTCGCAGCATGGCTGACAGACTGTGAGATATCACAAGGATGAATCATCCTATATTCACAGGGGCTAAGACTTCAAAGGATCTTGAGGAGTTTATAGACAAGGTGCATAAGATCCTGGTGGCCATGGTGGACATTGATATTGAGAAGGCTGATCTGGCTTCCTACAAACTCAAGTATGTTGCACAGACTTGGTGCAAGATGTGGCAAGATAGTCGTGTCCTAGGTGGAGTGGCAGTCACATGGGAGTTGTTCAAGACATCATTTCTGGAAAGATTCTTCCCCAGAGAGATGAGGGAGGTGAAGGTTGAGGAGTTCATTAACCTTAAACAAGGATCTATGACGGTCAGGGAGTATTCCCTGAAGTTTTTGAAACTATCAAGGTATGCCACTTCTCTTGTGTCCAACAGCAAAGACGAGATAAATAGATTGTTGACAGGAATTGCTGAGGATCTCGAAGAGGAATGTAGGGAAGTTATGCTGCATGACATCATGGTTTCTAGGCTTATGATCCATGTCAAGAAAGTGGAGGAAAGCAGAAAGAGGAAATACACTAGGGTAGGGAACAAGTCAAGGCAAGCTGAGGAGAATTTTTCAAGGAAGAGTAGTACTGAAATTAGGGATAAGCCAAGGTTTAATAAGGGACTCTTCCAACAAGGGGAGTCAAGTTCATCCAAGGGTCACCATGATAGGTATTCTGAGTCCAGAGTTAAGAGAAACAATGAAGTAGATACACCTCAGGAGAGACCACCTTGCAGAAAGTGTGGCAAACAACATGGAGGAGAGTGTATGAGGGGCACTAATGCTTGTTATAGTTGTGGAAAACCGGGTCACATGGTGAAGGATTGTTTGATTAGGAGAAGTAAAGAACGAGGGAAGGAGAGAGTTCAGTATAATGGTCCAAGTGAAGAGGCTCCAAGGAGGCAACGATTCTTCGCACTCAAGTCTAGGGGTGTAGGGGAAGGCACTTTTAATCAAGTCTCAGGCGAGTAGCCTTAATTAGTCTATCATGTAATTGACTGTGTGTGGTGTGTATGCACTAGTATGAGGTTAGACTTCCTACTCGTAAGGCTTTAGTTCCTTATCTCTTTGTATTTGTTGCTATTGGCTAATTGCACATAGCCATTAAGTTATGTTCGGATTGGCATTACGATATGTAAATGTTGTGTCATTCGGGGACGGATGTTCCTAAAGGGGGGGGGGGTAATGTAATTAAATCGAATAAATAGGTACTTAAGGTGATTTAATTATTAATTAAAAATCTAATATTTTAAGGGCATAATGGTCCTTTCACGTATTAATTAAAATAAATAAGATTTGTATTAATCTAAATTAAATCCTATTTAACTAAGTCTTGAATTTAGTATCCTAATGTAAATAACACTCTATCTCCCTCTCACGTTCTCCATATCTCTCTCTCTCTCTCATTGGTTTCTGCAAAAAATAATTTCAAGAACTGAAAATACATCAAGAGTTATTCACACTTGAAGAACTCACAAGAATTTTTAAGTAAAAGAAAAAGTAATCAAAACGTCAAGGCAAAGAGAGGTTCGTCGAATGAGGTGTACGTGGAAGTAAATGGGGTAGTTTGGAGGAGTTTCTGGGCAAAAACATCAGCGTTTGAACATCGATTAAGGTATAGGTTCTATTCTATCTTGGTCCCTTTTCCTAGAGACCCTGTAAGGTTCAGAATATTCATTCTGAAAACTAGGATTATTCCCCGTTGCATGTCCCTGTCACTAGCTCCCATTGAATCATAGGTTGATTATGTTTGCTGGTAGAAAGTTAGGGATGAAACATGTTTTCGTGATAATTATTTGTTTATATGTATTTTTGGAATTACGTGACTTATTTGATGTTTCGGAAATGTAACAACGTGTGTAAATGTGTGTCGTCGTGGCTATTGTTCAGAATGCAGTTTCTTTATATTTCATGTACACATGTTGATGTAAATGTGATGTTCATATGAGTTGAAATGTGGCTGATTTGAGGGATAATCTCTTTTCTAAATGAATCCATCAAAACGCACCTAAAACGTTCTAAATGCACTACGAAATTCCCCTAAGAACTAAGGTGTAACTTGATAGAAGGATGCCGAAAAATTAAAAGAAAATTTCCAGCTTTTAGTGATTAATTTCGGTCATCAAAGAGGGTTCAAAATGTTAAAAAATGAATCAAAACAAGTGAGGTCATGGAGGATTGAACCCGTGACCTCACCATGTAAAAAACCATGAAAATAAAGAAGTAAAAATAAATGTGGAGAGTGGGGATTGAACCCACAACCTCCCTATTGAAGCAATTTTAATTCTTAAAATCAAAGGGGTTGTGGGGGCCCAAACCCCCAACCCTTCGGTTAATTAACAGTAAAATTAAAATAGAAAATTTATCCCTTCATGTAAATATTGAGATTTAAATTAGAATTTTAGTTAAAATAGAAAATTAAATCTTTCGTGTTGAGATTTAATTTAAAATTCTAATTAAAATAGAAAATTAATTTTTTCATGTAAATATGGAGATTTAATTTACAATTCTAATTAAAATATAAAATTAAGTCTTTCATGTAAATATTGAGATTTAGTTTAGAGTTATAATTGAAAATAGAAAATTAATTCTTTCATATAAATATTGAGATTTAATATTGAATTCTAATTAAAATAGAATAATTTATTTCTTACAAGTAAAAGTTGAGATTTAATTTAGAATTCTAATTAAAAAAAATTAATACCTTCACAAAAATATTGAGATTTAATTTAGAATTCTAACTAAAATAGAAAATTAATCCTTTCGTGTGAATATTGAGATTTAATTTAGAATTCTAATTAAAATAGAAAATTAATTATTTCATGAAAATGATGATATTTAATTTAAAGTTCTAATGTTATAAATATTTGAAATAAAATCAATGAAAAATATAAATGATATCCAACTGATTCAAGATTTGGGTTCCCGTGCCCAAACCTCCGTATTGAAATATAAGTCATACGTGAGTAAAATATTCTAGGATGATGTCATCTACTTAGATCAAAAATCAAGATCTTGACATATATACAAGATACATAAGTCTTGTAATACATAATCTTTTGAAAGTAAGAATCACTTAACGAATTATGAATAAAGCCCTATGGCTTGTATGCATAGACAAATAAGTCTAACATACATTCAAAAATAAGTGAAGCTAGGATATATGTAATGAAATGATGAATCTTATGAGGGTTAAGTACGAGTGCAAGATACACTAAATGGCCAAATGCATTGGCATATGTTGAGATGAACTATGAAATGAAGAAATGAACATTCACGTAAGAAGAGGTCAATAACTATGAAAAACAAAGGTGCTAATAATGAAGAATGTGGTGACAATCATGATGTGAGGATAATGTATATGATGAGAGAAATCTCAAATAAGCCTAAGTAAATGTTACCAATACGTACTCACGAATTAGAGTGTAATATAATGAAGAGATCAGTCTCTATGAACACTCTAATGAAAATATTGAGTTCAAAACACTTAATACTAATGATGAGATTAGAAATCATCTAATGAGATATGTTTTCCTCATACTAGAAGCTAGCTTCCATGATGTATGAGTTGAATGTAATGGAACTTTATACTAAGTATCGATAAGCTAGCTATGAGCGATGATGCCTTCTTTCGGGAAGGGCGGAGGTTCACGTATTTCTCATGATATAAGACTGTCCGGCTTGCCGGGTATGGGTCTCCATATATCTCCTAGTCCTTGAAACTATAATGCCACTATAGGGTTCTGGCGGGGTTAAATTCTCATATACGCTAGCATTATTGAGTAACTTTAGCTAGTGATTCCACCTCTTTCGGTGTGGGGGAGACACTGGCTTTCATGATGCTCACATGATCTATGTTGGTTAAAGTTAAAGTTCTCAATGAATGAATAAGGCCAACCTCAAATGAATTATATAAAGAAATCAATGATACCGAAGGTGTTAGGATAGGATTATCAAGAGGTGAGCTAGATTCAAGTAATGACATTAGGTTTTCCCTAATCATTGCACATCAAACCTGATGAAACTCTTAAACTACATCCTAGGTATAGTTGGTGTTCACACTGGCCCATGAATGAACTAAAATGAGGAACGCATGAATGAATGAAGCAAACTCTGTGTGTGCTAAAAAAAGGCTCCCTAGTTGAGGTCCCATATGTTGAGCCCTCATTTTGAAAAGTCTTAGGGTCTAGTCCATGATTACAAGGTCTCATGGCATATGAATGAATAATATAAAAGAAGTTATGTGTTACATGTTATGTGCTCTATGAAGGTGTTATGTGTTGTGTGTCATACGATAATTATAATGATGCATGTCACTCTCATGGCATAAATTTCCCAATCTCAATTTGGCAAGTCCATTGAATTGACTTCCAAAAACTATGTCGTTAGGAAAAAACTATTCTTTCGAGAGAGAGATCTTGAATCTCAAAAGTTGGTGGTGGTTAGAATTACTCAATGATTATGACTCGAGTATTCTTTACCACACAATTAAGGTTAATGTGGTTGGTGATTCCTTAAATATGTTGATTAAGGGAAGCACTTCCCATGCTAAAGAAGGAAACGAGAGTTAGCAGAAGATATGCACAGACTTTCACTCATGCGAGTCTGACTTATTGATTTTACAGAAAGAGGAATATTGGTGACGAATGTAGTTGAGTTCTCATAAGTGTCAGAAGTTCAAGAAAAAAAAGACTAGGATTCTAATTTTGTTGAATTGAAGGCTAATAATCATATGCAAAAAGTAATAGCTTTTGAGCAAAGGTGAGTTCATGTATTGAGGTGTCAAGGTTTATTGTGTATATCAATGGTGGACTGACTTGAAGATAAGATCATGGAGGAAACTGATAGATCTAGATATTACATTAATCCGGGATCCACAAAGATTTATCGCGATTTGAGAGGGGTGTATTGGTGGAGTAGCATGAAAAAGGGCATTGCATATGTTATCGCTAAGTGTACAAATTTCCAACAAGTTAAAGTAAGAAAACCAAAGTCCCGTGGTTTGGCTCAGAATATAGAACATTCAAAAAAGAAATAGGAGAAGCTTAACATGGAGTTTATCACAGGCTTACCAAGGTATTTCAGGAAACATGATTCTAGTTTGGTGATTTTTGAAAGACTGACAAAATCAACTCACTTTTTGCAGCTAAAGACGAATCATTTGACAAAAGATTATACTAAGAAGTAACTTATAGATATGGTAGGAGTTTATGGGGTTCTGGTGTTCATTATTTCATATAAAGGTGTATAATTTATTGTGCAGTTGTTGAAATATTTTAAGAAAGGCTTGGGTTCAAAGGTGAATTTAAGTACTGACTTTCATCCTCAGACTAAAGGGAAAACGGAGAGCATTATTCATACATTAGTAAGACATTTTTAGAGCTTGTGTGACTGATTTCAAAGTGAATTGGGATAACTACCTCTCATTGAGTTTTCTTACAGCAACAGTAATCATTCTAGCATCCAAATGGCTTTATATGAAACTCATTATGGGATAAGATGTAGATCTCCTAATGGATGATTTTAAGTGGGTGGAGCAGGATTGATAGGACAAAATTTAGCTCACCAAGCTAGTGGAAAGGTGAAATTTATTCAAGAATGGTTGAAAATGGCACAAAGTTGTAATAAATAATACACTTATGTTGGTAGAAGGGTGTTAGAGGTTGAGATATATATTATTGGATTTACTTGAAAGTTTTACCCCTAAAGGGTGGTATGAGTTTTTTTTAAGAAGGGGAAGCTTATCCCTCCGTATGTTTGTCCTTATAGAATTTCCAAGAAGATTGTCAAAGTAGCTTATGAGCTGGAGCTACAACACGAGTAAGCAACAGTTCATCCAACGTATCATGTCTTCATGTTAAAGAAGTGCATGGGTGACCCTGCATTGATATATCCAACTGAAGATATTGGAATCAACGATAACTTTCCTAATGAGGATATTCATAGTGCAAATTCTAGATCGCCATGTTTAAAAGTTGAAAAAAAAAAGGTAGCACCAGTCAAGGTCCTTTGGAGGAACCAATATATTGAAGAAGATACTTGGGAAGAGAAGAGGACATGAAAAATATATATCCACATCTCTTTGAATTCA